TGACACTTGAGTTTCTGGCTTGGGAAACTTGAATTTATTTTAGACACAGAGCAGAGGAGGAAGAGCAGGCTTGAAGAGAAAGATGAAGCATGCTGTTTCAACATACCCGCAAATTAAGAAACTAAAATTCACAGAGGTGACATTATATATCCAAGATGACTGGAAGCAAAGAGCTGAGATTCCAACCCAAGTTTGTCTGCTTCTTGGCATTGCCACACCTCCTCCCACGCTCAGAATGGGAATGTGCACCAACCACTAAGGATGGGCAGACAATGGGCACCACTTACAGTGTGTCAGAAGAGAGCAAATAATAACATGAGAATATTTCAACAAACATAATTACTATTATTAGCATTGTGCCTGCTGTGACTCACACTGCTGTCCTCTGGTTCCAGTGAGAAAGCATTAAGATACACCTGAGACTTTTCATAAGAGTTGTGTATAAAGCAGTATGGCATGTGTGATACTGTGGAAGATCTTGGAAATAGAAGTTCTAATGATGTAAAGAAGGACTGGTCAGTGGAAAAGATTGTTACTGAGTCTGTGAGCTTTACTTCTGCATATCCAGTTCAGTCAGGAATCCTTTAGCCCATCAGCCTATTCTACACCACATACATGTAAAGAGATAGCACAGTGTTGTGGATAGTCAGTGGCTGTGTAGTACAGCACTTCAGAATGAACAGATCTGAGTTCAAACAGCAGCACAGGCTGCTTGAAAGGACGGAGTCACTTATTCTCAGTCCCATTTTTTTGTTTGTTTTTTGTTGTTGTTGTTGTTGTTTTTTTCTCGTTTGTATGGTTCAGATTGTAATGATTATTGAGAAGTTTGAGACACATAGTAGGCCTTCAGTTAGGACTAATTATATTGTCTGTTTTGCCTTTTCCATCCCTTTAACCTTAAACATCGTTGCCCCTTATCTCTGACTCTAGCAACTCCAAAGTTTACATTTTCTTTCTTTTGTTATATGTGAAAGCTAAAACTATAAAATTCCTAGAAGGGACATGGATATAAATCTTTTTTTAAACCTTGAATTGGCAACAGTTTTCTATGATAACAAAAGTATAGAGCAACCAAAAAAATTATAAAATGACTACCAAAATTTAATGAAGTTGAAACTAGTAGAAACTGGCAAATGCTACATATTAGGGCTTTTTTTTCATTATCAAGACTTAAGATTAAGAGATAGAGTAAATGTTAATTATTTTGTGTCTACTGCTATTATATTATGAAATTCACATGCAAAAGGAAGGTTCAGTGGGTAAAGCACTTGCCACAAGCCTGATGACCTGGAGCCCAAGAAAGCCCAGATGCAGGAGTCTGCCCTCTGTGATTCCACGGCACGCCTACGGGAAGATGAGATGCAGACACAGAACTACCAGCTGGCCTTCCACAGCCATTCACAGCAAGAGAGACCTGTCTCAAGCCAGGATGCAAGGCAAGGACTGGCTCCCAAGGTTGCTCTCTGACCTCCACATTCCCAAACCATGCCAGACTTACACCCATACTCAGCACGTACGTCATACATATGTGCATACGTGTGTGCTGGAATCCACACACATGCACACACACTTTTGAGTAGTTTTGCAGTATTTGAAAACAGTCATTTTCAACAAACCATTTGTATCGTTCATAGATTAATCAGGATTTCAATAGATGCCTTTGTTGTTTCATTTTTATGTTACTTATACTAAAATATTGACCAACATTCATGTCTGAAGTACACTAGAAAAGCTAGTAGTTAAACATTTACCAGCAACATACCACTAACTGGAAACGATAGCAAAGATCCTAGAACCTAGCATCTCTTATCACCTTACATGTTCTATGCTTGATGCTTATAACTTGCCCCAATTGCAAACAAATGAACGGATGGTCATATCAGATCATGTGCAGTCCCTGTGTACTTTAACACTGCCTCTCTGGATATCCAGGAAAATCTGTTTTACATGGCATTCCGGAGTAAGGACAGGTAGTGAAGATGTGTGAAGTCAGTTGTTACCAGTTTAGCTAAGAAAATGTCCTTCTCTCAGGGCTTCTAGTAAGTCTATATACCTGGCCTTGGAGGAAAAGCCAAGAGAATTAGGCCTAGGAAAAGAACTGCCAAATCCTTCTCTATATGGACAGACAGTAGAGCGGGCAGATAAGCCGTGTCTTGTTTTGAGAATTTTCTCTTCTCTCTTTTACTCAACTCCCTGAGGCATAGTCTTTAGCTGGAAATTAAACAGAGACTTGGCCCCATGAGAGCCAGGTCTCAACTTGGCTTCCAGTCCAAAGCTCTCTCCTTGGCTTTAATCACTTGGAACATTACTTCACCCTTATCTTATTTACCCAGAGTCTCCTTGGGAGGTGAGCCAGGGATTAATAAAAATAGGCCTTTACTTTTACATAAAGTCAATTCCAACTTACAAGGCCTTGCCCATGCAAGATGAATAAGCCCCCTAATGGACTTATATGTGAGTAAGGAGGGGGTAGCTAATCTTTTTATCGATGAGGAAAAAGAGGCTCAGAGACATGGAGCCTATTTCAGGGCTGGAATCTAGGTATGCTAACCCAAAATTTTATTGTTTTCTGTGAAACAAAAGTGTTACACTCTAGAACTAGAAGTACTCAGGATTATTATAGTTATTTGTAATAAAAAGAGCTTCCCTTCACTTACACTGCACCTTCATTTTAGGTTTTTAATTGATCCACAATAAATTAATAAGAAACAAAAGTTCACCCAGGTAGCTGTGGCAGGAGGATCTCTGTGATTTCGAGGTCAGTCTGGTCTACAGAGCAAGTTCTAGGACAGACTCCAAAAGCTGATCACACAGCAGAAATATCAGAGCAGGGGTTTAAGCCCAGATCTCAGTTCCCAATATTACACCCATATTATTAAGAAAAGTGAATAGTCCTGACACATGAAACAATGTTTTTGTTAGATATAAATTATCTCATTATTAAGGGAAGGAAAAAGAAAAAGGAAACTGATTGAGCTTCACCATTTAATTGTTAACAAATATTCCCCACAAACCACATCTTCAGATTGTACTAGGTACAGAGTAAGAGAGATGGAAAATGTATTTGATCTCTGTGCTTTAAAGTGCTTATATTTGTGTGGGGGTGCATGTAAATTGTGTAAATCCTGGAATATTGAGATCATTAGGAGAGGGAATATTGAGGACAGGAAGGTCTTTGAGAGAAAATTGCTCAGGGGAGTCCAGGAAAGTCTTTTGAGGAATTGATACATAAGTTGAGACCAGAATCCAAGTCATAATGAGGCAGAGAACAGTGCATGCTTGAGCAAAGGAAATGGAAGAGATGGGATCGCAGAGGGGCAGGCAAGGGCAAGATCAGAAGGATCTGTGCCCATTGGGAGGGATTTGAGGTTTTCTCTCAGTGGGAAGTTGTGAAGGGCTTTCCATCAAGGGAGATGAGCTAACTTATGCTCAAAATATCACTCTGACTATTGAGAGGAATGAAATTGCAGAATCAAGATTGAAAATTTGGTAACAAGAGGATTTTTTTCAGGAGCCCAGGTGAGATGGAAGCCTAGTCTAGGCCAAAAGCAATGTCAGTGAAAAGGGAAAATTGTAAGTGGTAAATTTGAAATGTATAACAGATACTATCCTGGGTACTATAAAATTTCTTATCTAAACTCACAACCAAGGTATGTAGTTGTTTTACAGACATTTATAGATGAGGAAACAAACTGAGAGATTCATTGATCATCTACGATCTAGACAGGGTTACTCTGTGTAGCTTTGGAGGCTGTCCTGGAACTTGCTAGCCTCGAACTCACAGAGATCTGCCTGTCTGCCTCCCAAGTGCTTTGATTAAAGTTTAGTGAGCACCACCACTGCCTGACTTTCAATGACCATATTTTATATTTTCTTTCCTACAAATAATAGTGACCTCTAAAATTCATATTCAAAACCCAGAGTATGTGTCATGGTGATGTACATGGAAAACCCCTGTGAAAACCTATCTATGCCCAGATGATAGAGGACAGTCTAGATAGGGAACAACTGTGGTTAGAGATCAGGCTGGTATTTGATCTAGCACTTATCAGTTCCTATGGCTTCTAGGCAGTAGATGCTCCTTATAGCTGAGAAATCTTTTCTAAAAATGTAACTCGGGCCATAAAAAGATGTAGCTGTAGATTGCCTGAGCTGGAAGTATTTCTTCCAGATAACTGAACACAAATGTTTCATGTCACAAATGAGAAAACAAAATCTAAATTCCAAAGGGTCTGGGGCTGCTAAAGTCACTTAAATGACGGAGACAGAATGGGGGATAGCACCAGGTCTTTTAATGCCCACCATTGTTTCCCACAGTGGTGAGCTGTGCCATTTGATAAATCCAAAAGTCCTTTTTCCATATCAAACAAACTCTGGGTGAGAAAACTGCAGATCTCACTTCTCCTTCTGAATGGTGTCTTGCAGGAACACAAGATCTGTATCATTTACATAAACTATAAATCCCCTGAGGTAACCAGAGAAACTGGTTGGAGTGGTCACCAGGATTTGAAGCTCCTATTCCTGGACATCTGTGAACTTCCTCTTTCATGTGCTCTCTATACTTTGGGAAATGATTTTTCTCTCCATCACTTTCTTTTTTGTTGTTGTTGTTGTTTTTTTGTTTGTTTGTTTGTTTGTTTTTTCGAGACAGGGTTTCTCTGTGGCTTTGGAGGCTGTCCTGGAACTCCCTTGGTAGTCCAGGCTGGTCTCGAACTTACAGAGATCCGACTGCCTCTGCCTCCTGAGTGCTGGGATTAAAGGCGTGCGCCACCAACGCCCGGCCTCTCCATCACTTTCACCATGGCATGAATTATAGAGTCAAATCCCAGTAAGGCATATGTCCCTAATATTGCCATTTTCTGCTGTGGGATCCCCAAGACAAGTCTTTGCTCTGCTATAGGCCTGTTTCTTTACCTGTTTGATAAGGAGAGTGGCATAACTTCTGCGTGGCTTGCTGTTTATGATTGTGTGGGATTGAAATATTAATTGCACAATTCCAGGTCCCTGGCACAGAGTGGATTCACCAGAACCCTTGGCTGCCTGGTGAGGTGGAGTTCGTCGGGTAGAATGTGGTAACTGCTGGGCTCTTCCTGACCCGCCCCCATTCCTCCTCTACTCTTCCAGAGATTCAGCTGATGACCAGAGGTGCCCGGGTTCAGAATCATTTCCTTCCTGGCATTCAGGAGAAGAGCCCTGGGCCCCACCCCTGCTCTTTGCATGCCTCTGTTAGAGTATAATTTCAGAGAGGCACCTTCCTGTCTTAAAGCATCTCCTCCACCCCCTGGAGGAAGGGAGGTGTTGACGAAGGGGCAAGAGCTCAGGGTAGACAGGCCTGAGTTGGAACCTCGGCCCTGTCACTTCACTGGCTTCGTGTCCTTCCCTTCCATACTCAGAGCCTGACGTGCTCCATCTGTAATACCCTCTGAACACTGGGAACTAGAAGTAATGTCTGCAAAGAACTTGTGGAATAAAAGCATATAAAGTCTTTTCCACTCAGAACACATTAGAAATAAATTATTAAGGACCATCCTGTTACAATTTTTTTTTGTTTGTTTTTTGAGACAGGGTTTCTCTGTATTGTTTTGGAGGCTGCTCTGTAGACCAGGCTGGCCTCGAACTCACAGAGATCCGCCTGCCTTTGCCTCCCGAGTGCTGGGATTAAAGGCGTGCACCACCAACGCCCGGCTTGTTAAAATTTTTTTAAATGATGTGATTTGTCCAACAGTTTCTTGTGTGTCTGTATAGAGAGAGATGTATTGTGTGCGAGTGTGTGTGTGTGTGATGTATGTGGGTGGGCACACATGTGCCACAGAGCTTGTGTGGAGGTCAGGAGACCACTTTCAGGACTCAGTTCTGTCCATCTACAATGGGCTGTTGGATTGACTCAGAGCATGAGACTTGGGCAGCAAGCAGTTTTACCTGCTAAGCAATCTCACCAGCCCTACAGTTTATATTCTAAAAGCCAAAATGCAGTGTAAAATCTTTCCACATGCATCATTGTAGCAGGCTTTCGGGCTGGTGAGATGGCTCAGAGGTTAAGAGCGCTGGCTGCTCTCCCAGAGAGGAGTGGTAATATGAGCAAAGGGGGACAAAACCATGGGAAACCCACAGAGACAGCCCACCTGAGTTAGTAGCAGCTCACTGACTCCAGACTGGCATGTGGGGAACCTGCATAGGACCAAACTAGGCCCTCTGAATGTGGTGACAGTTGTGTGGCTTGGGCAGCTTATGGGGCCACTCTCAGTTGGACCAGTATTTATCCCTAGTGCACTAGCTGGCTTTTTGGAACCCATTCCCTATGGAGAGATACCTTATTCAGCCTAGATACAGGAGGGGAGGGCCTTGGTCCTACCTCATTGTGATATGACAGACTTTGTTGACTCCCCATGGGAGGCCTCACCCTCTCTGAGGAGTGGGTGGGGATGGGGTGGCAGAAAGTGGGAAATGTGGGAGAGGGAACTGGGATTAGTTTGTAAAATAAAAAAGGATTGCTTTAATTAAAAAAAAAAAGACTTGTGCCTCTGAGTGATCCTGTGGCTGTGCAGTGAAACATGAGTGGTTCTCCACTGAATATTTTCCAGCTATTTTCTTGTAAGGATCTGAGATGCTGCTATACTTGACATTTGAAACAAAAAGAGTCACTTCATAGCAATCGAGAAGCAGTTTACAGATATTGATCATACCTCCCACCCTCACATAACAATACTGAGTTATATCTTAACTTTAGTTGGGATTAATACCCTCCCCGTTTTACTCTCCCTCTCCCTCCCTCTCTCTCTCTCTCACCTAGATTCCTCTTACTATTGATTCTTTCTGCCCGCCAACCTCACCTATCCTTCTATGGCCTAGCTATTGGCCATTCAGCTTTTTATTAGACAAATCAGGTGGCTTAGGCAGGCAAGGTGAAACAACTGTAACATCGTTACACAGTTAAATGAATGCAGCACAAACAAACGCAACACAGTTTTACATAGTTAACATAATATCCTGAAACATAAATGTAATACATCTTTATGCAGTAAAAGTAATATCCATAATACTTCACAGGTAAGTGTTCAGCATATCTTTATTATCATTATAATTATACTTATTGATTGTGAGCTGTGTGAATTAACTCAGCAGGTTCTAAATTCTCTCAGAAGTAGAACTCTGATTCTAAAGTCTCTCCAGCTGAAGGATCTTTAGTGGCTTCCCAAAGCCTACACTGTATGAAACCCAAATGTAAGGCTGTAATTGAGGGTTCTTAACTCTTAGGACCCGGCCTACTTTTGTGGTCTGAAATGTCTCATGCAGTGTTTTAAAATATATAGAATTTAGTGTCCCACTTCAGCTGCTTACTTGATTTCTTCCTCTGCAACACTATAGTATTTCTATCTCACAGAAAACATAACAGCTTATAGTAGCTACTGATTATTGCAGTTATCAATTGCTGGTTAGTGTATAAAAATGTGACACTTGACAAACATTTAATCCTGACAAGAGCCTTGTGAAGTAGGCTTTAAAAGATGAAAAAATGAGACAGAGAGAAATTAGATAGCTGTCAAATATAAGTTTTCAAATACAACAGATTTAGATCCAGATTTAGCTTAGCCCACAGCACTATAACCCCCCCTCCAAGGACAGATGTTTAAATGGACTTTGCACACACTAAAGGGCTGTAAAAATTGGCTACTAATCACTGTCTTCACCTCTTCTTCCTTGGATACAAAGACCTGAATACATAGCAACTCACCATTTTCAAAGGCACATTCATAGCTGTGCTTTTGACCACATTGTTTTTCCCCCCTTAAATGTATCTTTCTTCCTCAAGATGGCTCAGTAAGGTTCTGTAACACACCTCACGACCCTCACCCTCTCAAGGGTGTGAAGACATCTCTTATCCCCCTGCTCCTTTCCACTTACTTAGTGCTTACTAGATAATATTGGGAGTCTTTTATTCCAAAGAATTTTCATGAAACCAATCAGCAGAGTCCTCTATTGTCCTCCAGAGAAACCTCAGTGGGATTGTTGTATAGACAGAGGACACAAATAGCATTGTAATTCAAGTCATGTCCAACAGGTAGCACAGAAGTCATAATCACAGCAGCCCCAGAAGGGTAGATATTAATAGCTGATATTTGCACAATATTCACAAAGCCTATATATTATCCACAGGGGTTCTTATCCACATTTTACTTTACTTTTTTTGTTCTTTGCTTGTTTGTTTTTCAAAATAGGGTTTCTCTGTGTAACTCACTCTATAGACCAGGCTGGCCTCGAACTCAAAGATTCACCTGCCTCTCCCTCCCAAGTGCTGGAATTCAAAGCGTGTCCTGCCGTCACCACCAAGCTAAACGATTTTTTTTTCAAAGTCAATAATCTTTTCAGAACTAGGCGGTGGTGGCACATGCCTTTAATCCCAGTACTCAGGAGGCAGAGGCAGGGGGGTCTCTGTGAGTTCGAGGCCAGCCTGGTTTACAGAGTGAATTCCAGGACAACCAGAACTGTTTCCCAGAGAAACCCTGTCTAGGGGGAAGGGGAAGAATCTTTCAGAACAGGTGAGGTGAGTTGATTTTAAGAGTCCAACAGAAGAGAGGCCTGAACCCCAACCTGGAAGCAGCCTCAGAAGGAGACCCAAACCTCAGGCCTTGGGGCAGCATCAGAGGTAGGCTTGAGTCACTAGCCCTGAAGCAATATCAGGTGGAGGTGCAAGCCTCAGGCCTGGGAGCAGGGAGCGACCACTGGGTGAGATGACAGCAGTGGTTTCCAGCAGTGGCTTCTAGAAACTATAGCAAGAAGTTCTTCTGGGAAAGAGCACCTGTGTCCCAGCCAGTATCCACTGTCCTTTCTGGGTTGGAAATATCCCACTGCTACAGCAACCACTGGACCCTCAGCCCCACCTACACCAAGAGGAACAATCACCAAAGCCATGGCCCCGCCTCCTATGATAGGAGCATCCACCAGAGTTGTAGCCCCACCTACAACTCAAGGAGCAACCTCCTGAGCCTTGGGCCCACTTCCACCAGGAGGAGCATTCACCAGAGGCTCTGCTCTGCTTGCTCCTAAAGGAGTGGTCAACAGAGCCACAGCCCCCAACTATACCAATTGGAGAACGAGAGACCCCCTGGAACACAAGCTTCACCTATAGATTAGAGGAATAGATGCATAGACAAAAAGGTAAGAACGCACTCAACAGTATAAAGAGCAACACAGCATCACTAGAAACTAGTGCTGCTACAACAGTATGACCTGAACATCCCAACACAGATGAAATAGAAGAAAATGACCTAAAATAACTTTATGAGAATGATTGAAGTCCTTAAAGAGGAAATGAAAAATTCCCTTAAGAAATGGAGGAAAAGACAACTAGATAATGGGACAGACTTAGTATAGTTCCTAGGTGAGGCCTTACCCTCTATGTGGAGCAGATGGGAGGAAAGGGGAAGTGGGGGGAGCGGCAGGAGAGGAGGGAGGGAGAACTGGGATTGGAATGTAAAAAATAAACTAATTAAAAAAAGAAATGGAGGAAAAGACAAAAAATTGGGGGAAATTGACAAATTCTTAAAGAAAACCAAGAAAAAGCAAACAAGTAAAGGAAGCGATTCAAGCCTTGAAATATGAAATAGAGGCAATAAAGCAAACACAAACTGAGGGGATTCTGGAAATGGAAAATCTGAGTAAATGACCAGGAACCATGAATACAAGCATAAACAACAGAATAGAGATGGAAGAGAGCATTTCATATGTTGAAGATACGATAGAGGAAATAGATTCATCAGTCAAAAAAAATTAAATCCAACAAATCCTTAACACAAAACATGCAGGAAATCTGGGACACCATGAAAAGACCAAACCTAAGAATAACAGGGATAGAAGAAGGAGAATGCCAACTGAAAGGCACAGAAAATATACTCAACTAGAGTCCAACAGAAACGCTTTGGATTGTCCTTAAATTAGTTCATTCCTTGCAAATGTATGAACTATGTATGACATTAGGGACTTCAATTTTTTTAATGTATCCCTATGTAGCTGAGGATGACCTTGAACTCCTGGTCCTCTTTCTCTACTTCTCCAATTCTGGGATTACAGGTATGTGCCAATATACCCAATTCTTCATGGTGCTAGGGATGGAATCCAGGGCTTAATTCATGCTAGACAAGCAGACAACAGCACTGCATCCCGACCCTACCCCCAAGTTTACATTCTTGAAGCCACTTGGCCTGAATAGGCCTGATGGACACAGTGAGAGTGCATGTGATCACTAGAGAGTTGAAGAAGAGTCACGAAGATATCAGTGAATAAAGGACAGAAGAACTGTAAGACATACCTTAGGAACAATCCACTTCTCTATGGCTTCAGCCATTGCCAAGGGGCTCCATTTATCAGGAGTCAGTTATTCCAAGAATTTGAGAGCGTAGTTTTTGAGAGCATATAGTGCATTATGCTTGTGATATCTTCAAGAAACTCCTAGCTAGGAAATACAAAATTGAGAGCTACATCTGTATAAGTATTCCAAAAAAGGAATTTAATAATAAAATCTACAATTCC